TTATTTTTGACTACACATATAATTAATTTTTTGTAAAGTTTCACTAAAAAACCTGGTCCGTTGAAAATAAGATGACATATTACTACAGGTCAGGAACTTTATTTAGCCTACAATTCTGTTTTAAGGCTACCATTGAGATTACTTTATTTCAACTTGGTTTGTAAGGAAACTAAAATCTGATAACCTGATAAGTCACTGATAACCACACAACAATAAAAACAGAGAGGAAAAAAACCAACCCAACAAAAAGCTCCACACCAGTATCTCTTCCTAGTGGGCTTATATAGAGCAGTTTCAAAATATTTTATTATAACTCAAATTAAAAAACACATTAGGTCATTCTGTTCACATTTTACCATATAAAAATTGAACATAAACTGTTAAAAAACCACAGTACAACTTAAGATAATCTCCACAGACCTGTTCCTTTACATGACTATCTTCATTGGATTACCTTTTCACACTGGGAAAGAATTCTTTAGCTGAAAAGCACTTTATAAAGGATTGAACATTTTGTTTGTATACCGTGTATAGTCCAGATAATTGAAAACTTCCTGTCCTTAATAGCTTATACAAAATGATTCATGGTGTAGATTGGTATTCACAAGTTATTATGTGCATTAATTTATATTTTTTCCTTTGTACAGGCATCTAAAGATTAGATTTATAGTAGTGCTGAAATGCATTTTTTTTTGCTTGAAATCAAGATTGCAATATACTTCATTTCACATTCTGTATGGATTTCAAACTATTGCCATCATGATGATGGTTTGGGCGTTTTGTGGAGGAGGGTTTTTTGGGCGACCTTAACACACTCATTTCACGACAGAGTATTGGTTTGGCTAAGTACAATACATAGACAGAAGACAAAGCAGGTTTTAAGGAGTTTTATGAAAAACAGTATTTTTCCCAAGCATTAAAAACTGCACATGAAAATCTGTAGGGCTAAGTTCTTACATGGGATTTTTAACCTATTTTAATGGAAAAAAAATGGAGCAGAATAGAAAAAAAATTTGCAATTTTCTCCTTGAAAATGGTTTTGACACTGTCAAAATAACTTTTCATTAGAAGATGAAAATGTCATTTTCTTCAACAGCTGTGTTTGGATTAAAGTCTGAAATTTCAATTTTGTCAAGGAGGAAATTTTTTGAGCAGAAAAAAAAATTTCAACTGACTCTAATATATAATATATGCAGGATATATATAGGTACACATGCAGGAATACAGAGCCAGCATCTCTGCTGGTGTAGAACATCTAAGTGTCTCTGAAGTCACAACTTGCCTAACTAACATCAGCTGTGAATCTCACCTAAGAAAGAAATTTTTGCTGATCTCATATTCACCTCTCTGTGGAATGCTGTTTTCTGAGCAACATGATTCTGACATAAAAGGCATAAATTGAGTAGTATAGGGAACTACAGAGCTAATCTTCTGAACACCAGAACACATGAGTGTCAAGGAACAGAAGTATGGCTGTAATGGTTCTTAATAATGCAGTCTTGAAGGGAAAGTCAAACTTTTCTGTAGGAAGTTCTCTTCAGGTCTTCAGAAAAATTGTGTTTGCAATGTAATTCTTTAAGACTACTTAAGACTAAGACCACTTAAAATGATAATGAATTTTTCAGGTCTCAGGGTAGAGCCTTCATTGTACTGGTTATTGACCAATGTGGCAGGTCTGTTTGCGTGAGCAATTCCAGAGATGTGTTTTCTAGGTGGTACTCATTTTACTTCTAAAGCTTCTAACAATTACGTATATAAAAGATGCCTCTACAGCACATAATGGTAAATGCAGTATTTTCAGGCAAGCGCACCGAATTCACCTATGCTGATGACTCTGAACTTCCATGTTAGTATGAAAGCTCCCTGTTGATGTTTATTGGTACCCAAATTTGTAAAGCTGTACCTTAATGTGTGTTAGTATCTAACTGCACATTTCTACGTAGTAGCATTTCAGAATTATACGGAATGATGCTATGATACTACACAAGAAATGTAGTAAATAATATGTTAGAACCGTACTTGATTCATTTTCATTTTCTAGTTACACTGGAGAATACACCATTTTGCCAAGTGCAACTCACATGTCTGTATTTTACTTTCTTTGGTATGCTCTGGGCTTTTTACAGCTGTTTTTAAAACTTCCATTAAAGTGTATCCTTTGGTAAGGATTACAGAATTTAAAGATGATGAGCGTCATCTGACAGGGAGCAGCTACTCTTGTTTTCCCGTGCTTGCTCAAGTGATGGAATCTTATAATTTGTCTTGGAGAACTCTCATTATGATATCTATGTTTAATTGAATGGGGTGAGGGGAAAGAGGAGGAAAATCTATGCTTATGAGTATGTAATTTCATGTGGATGGAGTTGAACTCAATGCATGTAAAATTTGGAGAGCTCCCCCACTAAGCTACCAGCAAATATATGTATCAATCCCTGATTTCTTATGCTGATCTTTGTAAAGTACAGCACTTGCTTCTACTTACAATTTGGTTCCAGAAAAGAAATTAATTGTGACTAAGGAAGTCCCTACTACAACATTTGGAGGTGCATTTCTTGCATTTCTTTGTGAATTATCAAATTCAGAGCAATGGGTTTACAGAAGATTTGTGTGCTCCATCAAAGATCAGAATCAGGCCTCAAGGTTTTTTGTCCTACAGACCTACAGATTCTTCATCTTTCCTGAGTTACAGAACCAGCTGTACTTTGTTGCAAAGCTCAAAAGTAGCAGTGATTCTCCAATATGTAGCTTGGTTATCTGAGTAAAAGTGGAGATGCTTCAGGCAAGAAGTTATCAATGCATCTATGGAGCATTTAAATATTGAAATCCTTGAACAACTTCTGCTACGCATCACTTAGAATTGTTTAGGATATAATTACAGGAATGACAGATCTCAGCGTTAAGCCCATTTTTTGTTCTGCTTTTGTGTGGGAAGGCAAACTGGTCTGGTTGAGGACTTCTGAATCCTCTTTGTTAATTTTGTTCTCTCAAATTTGAAACATCACTCCCTCTCCTTGCAAGGTGCCCAAGGCAAATGGCCATCCTTCCTGTCTGAATGGTGACGGGCTTTCTCCAGGCTGGCGAGAATGTTGTTCCACAGGACCATCCAGTCAAGGAGGACACGCGAAGGGACTTTCCACCATTCTCTTCTAAGACAAAGCTTAGCAAGTAACTACAACAGAATGCAAGTTTGGTCAATTTAAGAATTCAGCAGAGAGGCTTCTACTGTACCTAGCAGATCGGAACTTGAGCTCATGGTAACACTGCACAAAGCTGTGATAAATGAAAGTGATCGGCAAGGCTAATAAAACGATGCCACTAACCACACAAATCCCTCCAAGTATTCTTCCTGGTACAGTGATGGGACACATGTCACCATAACCAACTGTGGTCATTGAGATGATCACCCACCAACAAGCAGCAGGAATGCTGGCATAATCCTTATTCTTTGTTCCCAAGTCCAGCCCATTTTCAAGAAGCTGGGAAAGTGCACTGAAAATTGCCATAGCAACACAGATAAAGACAAGTAGCATCACCATCTCTCTGTAACAACGCTTCAGAGTCAGACCAAGTGTTTGAAGGCCAATGAAATGACGGGCCAGTTTAATCACCCAAAAAATCCTCATCATTCTTAAGACCCTCAGAGTGACTCCAGCCCTCTGAAGCTGTGAATTTTCCCCTGTGAAAACTGTCATTAGAACAGAGATGTAGTAAGGAGTAATTGCCAGCAAATCAATGATGTTGAGAGGTCTTCTGACAAACTCACACTTGTTTTTGGAGACGATGAACCTCACAATGCATTCTGCAGTGAACCAGCCTATGCAGATAGCTTCAATTATCCTGTCAAAAGAAACAAAGTACAGTATTTATGCTCTGTGCAAAAGCTTCAGTGGATGTTTGGTTTGTTCACGGATATTACCAAATTGACACTTAGACTTTCACAGACAACAAACAGAAAGCCACACTATTCTCATCCTGTGCATGTGGCACTGGATTTCCACAATTAACCTGAGGATCTAGTGAGAGTTTAAACTGATAATTGCTGAGAACTCACTCACTGATTGTTTTCTTTGAATTACAGACTTCTACTAGTCACAGTACGGGGCAAACATGCCAGAAACTAGAACTCTACAAAAAATGGTAGGCCACCAGTGCCAATGTGTAACATTATCTAAAACACCTGGGGTTTGGGTTTCTTTTGTTCATTGAGTTTTGGGGGATTTTGCTCAGTTTTGTTTGTTTGTTTAAATCTGTGAGGTCTGATCCATGTGGGAATGCCAAGGGCTGTAGGTCAGTGAACTGAGAGGTTATGAACAGGTTATAGAACCAGTCTGCTAAACTAAAATGGAAGTGCAACTGGAGTAGGCAGAAATCAGTTTTTGCGTTGGATAATTCATGCAAATTAGTTCTTCAGGAATCAACCTAAACCAGTCTATCTGATCTGCATCCGAAATGGGGCTTATAGAATTATATTCAGAACTTTATAGGTATTGCCACTAAATACAGATGGTATTTCATTTTTCATCATTGGGTACCCAAAGTACTAAGCTTGTGTCCTCCCATTTACCACAATGCTCTGCATTATTGATTTTTTCTTTTGCTTTAAATGTAATTCCACCTAAACTACATTGCAAAAAAAAACCAAAGTAACCAGATGTTAAGGTAATAGGCAAGATCATCTTCTTGCCAAATACAGAAGAAACCCTGGAAGGGGATTTCAGTATGTTCTTAAATATTTTCAAGTCCCAGTGCATTGAATGTGACTTGAGAATATCTCAACTTGAAACCAGTGTAAGGTAGAAACAGAAGATAAAAATGTTGCTCAAAGATTATTTAGTAACTGTTGTGCATGTAGTTGCAGATCTTAAGATTTCAGGCTGTGTTCACTTTTTTACTACTTGAGGGAATGGGAGCTAATATTTCCCTAATTCCTCTGTTAATCTTTTTCCTCAACACTTTAAGCAAAGAAAAAGCCCATCACTGATGTCTTCTCATACCAACAGGTCTGAAACTAAACTGGTATGAGACTGGAGATTTGAAAATACTACTAGAAAATACAGTCGGAGTTTTTTGCTACTGCAAGGACCCTAACAAGGTAGTGTCTGTTGAAATATAATGATTTGCAAGTGATGCTGTCATTTCAAAGCTAAACTTTTGCTTTCCTAATACATCTGCATATTTTTTACCAGTTCTGAAATCTATTGTTATTATTAAGAGAATGGCCTGTTAGAAAGGCAATATTCACCCCTAACTGATGTAATTACAGACTCTATAAGCTTTTTCCTAAGTTTCATACAGTAAATTTTTATTAATTTAATTTTGTTCATTCATTCTCCTTAGTTTTAAGCTAAAATTGGAAGAAACAGTAGCAGTCAGTTGATGCAAAATCATAAGGTAAACTGTAATTCTAGCCGCAACAAATTTAAATTAATATAAATTAATTACTTATAGAAATATTTATTCACATAAATTCAGACCTTGTTTTTATTTTTTCATGAATAACAAAGTTCTGTAAGCAAGTGGTCATTCTTCATAAAGGGCTTATAAAACATTAGTTCATGTTAGCACCTTTTGCTGGAAAGATCTCTGAATTTCAAAACCAGTTTACTCTCAAGAATTAGGTGTTCTCTTAAAAATTAAGCTTTTGAAAGCTTCCTTTATGTTGAAAACAAATAAAGGAAAAAAGGTTAATGGATAAGTTCACTTAAATCTTTTTTACATATGATAAGGAAATATGTAAGACTTTCCCCAGTAAAATCAAACAGCAAGATCATGGTAATGGACACAGTGATGAAGTCTGAATGTACTTATATGTTGGCTGGTTGAGATCTCGTGTAACGATTATAAGAAAAATTGTATCTTGGATAGAAAATTGCAGCCAGGAATATTCAACAATTCCAACAGACTATTTCATTACATTTTATGAGATTTCTCTGGTAGTGCTGCCTGTATCCTATGACATGAAGCATTTAAATGAAAAAGAAATTTGTAATTACACAATTTAAAGCTTTTTCACTTGGTATTTCCTCCTGATGCCCTGATAATGTTGGAAGTGTGACTCCTCCATTTTTGTCACATGTTAGACACATCTCTGGGTTGAGCTTTAAGGAACTTAGGTTCTGATTGTTGTGATATAATAGTTTTCTTTATAAATCGGCCGTGATTCAGTGGTTCAGTGTAACTTTGGGGAATAGTTGTACAAGTAAAAATCCATTCAATATTATCAATCCACTATTTTACTCTGGCAGTTTCTAGCACAAGAAATACTGTAAATCAGTAATATTCCATAGGAAGGACTGAAGAAGGATTTATTGTAGAACAGATTTGAAGAAAAGTAAGGAATGCCATTGATGCAAAAATGACAAAGCAAGATCAAGACAGTGGGAGATACGTTAATGCCACTGTTACAGCTTGCACTACCATTTCTGCATTTTGCATCCATCCCTCCTTCTCCAGGCTAGGAAGAAGATAATGAAGAAGGGTGTCCCTTTTTTTTTTTCTTTCGTCTAGTTACTTTTTAGCCATCAGTGAAACAGTTTTCAATTTTCCTCCCTTGTCACTCCTTTTTGCCTGTGTAGATGGATTTTGGTAGTACTGGTGAATCACATAAAAGTGCGTGCTTTGGTGAGAAAAACTAGAAACATCTAGCATGTTGGGAAATCTGGATGCTACATACTATGTTTCCACTTTCAGATCAAGTCCCCCTCTCCTTGCAGTGATTTTTATAGCTAACCTTATTAGTGGGTAAATAACATCTAATAAGGAAAGCAAATTTAACAGTTACCCCTCAAGAGAACTTAACTGAGTGTAAAGTTAAAGCCAAAAAAAAGGCATGTACTCAGAAGACTAAAGCACCTGTATTCTTTGTAATCAATTTTAAAATATTTTCTGCATATTCACAGGGCAGACTGCTTTTATTGCCTATGCTTAGAATAATGCTGTATTAAAATCTATAACTATTTAATTAAATAGTGGCTTTATTTTGTAAAATGTAGTACCTATAAACTTCCATCACAGTTTTGGTTTTTTCCCCATCAGTTCAGTTTTAATATAGCTGGCATTCAAAATGGAGAGGGGGAATTAAAAACAAACTCATTAAGTGTTTCCTTGAAGATTCCCCCCCAAAAATTTATAAATAATCAGAGAAAATACTAAGACATATTTTTTATTCAGTTACAGGCTATTTCTGCTCAAACTTACTGTTCATTGTCCAAGACCTAAGCACATCAAAGAAGGTATTTCTCCTGAAATTTTAAGCCACTTGGTACCTAATAGTCTTTCAAGATTACTCTGTTGCATATGATAACTTTCTCTCAGAATAAGCTATTTTATGTACAGAGAGTTTAGCCACTTCAGAAATAATTTTTTCAATCACTAACAAGACTAGTTTGCTAGTACTAAAAAAATAAAATCATATTGTGACTATCTTAGAATGTTTTGACTTAGCAATATTCTTTGCCCAAGCATGCCAATTGGTGTACTTTGAATATCCCCTGGTGAGTTGGATGAAATAGAGCCAAAATATTCCTTAGTGGCTCTATTATCTATTAAGCTTGTAAATAAAACATACACACCAACAGGACACATGAGGAAAACAGATGATACGATTAAAGACAGTATATGACAGGATTAAAGATTAAAGTCTGTCAGCACTGATTTTTTAAATTGTTGCTGAAGCCTATTTCCATGTAGAGCACATTAAACCTGAAAAACATCCAAGCAGTAGCCAGAATGATCAAATTCCTGCTCAGGAAGACTCCTAGGTAACTTCAGCAAATGTTTGGGTTTTTTTAATCCTTTTAAAGTCAACAGGGTTTCCTTCTCACTACAAGCTATGGAGTAAAGGCCACAGAACAGCAGTTTCCCTGCATTAAAAACCTTGCTGGGTTTTTCCCGTTCTATCTCTGCTTTGGTAGCAATAATATGTCTTGATGCATTAAACTCTGCTGCCTTATGTGGGAGGCTGTAATGACCCAGCACTCCCCAGGGAGGGGGCAAATGCCTTTCACAGCTTGAAGGGGATACCGGGATACAAAGATCTCAAGCCCTGGGATCCTCAGCATCTTTTCCATATATGTTGAACATAACTGGCACCTAGACCTGGTGAGTTTAAGATTCTCGTGTTGCCAGACAGTGATATACATCTGTTCATTGTGTTACCTCTTTTAAAAAAAGCTTGTAAATTCAATAGAAGAATCCATGTCTGTGTTTTTAACTTAGGTTTGTAGTTCCATTCTTTACTTTCAGCCTACTGTTTTAACTTAGCAAAAATGTGGTGTTTGGGTTAGATCTTACGCAGGAAAGGAGATCTTACTGTTTTTTTGAACAGATGTTGAACATGAACATTTCAGTGTTCTGAAATTCCACCACCATAAAGGAATAATGATTTTTGTGTATTCAAATGTGACTCTTTAGGTGGATATTTTGCAGAGATGAAAAAAAGTCCACTGGCACCTGATGGGAGACACTGTTCGGGAAAGTTACTGTGTTTATCTGCTTTTGCTTAACAACACAGCAATCATATAGGCTTGGTGGCTCACTGATTATTTCAGTACAAACTTAATCATGATTATTAAGTGGAAAGGGGGCTAACAAGCTACTCGTAGTTAGAAAAAATAGTTTTAAGGCAAGTAGATAGAACTGTGCTGGCAGTAAGTCAAGCAGCTTCAAATGATTTCCTATTACAGGCTTGAGAAGCTCTTCCTAAAAGATTACGCTCACAATCAGTGTGTGGACGGGTCCCTGAGCAGAGACTTACAGTATGCATCTGTTGGCACAGTTCAGAGGAGAGCAAAGATGACTTGAAATTGCCAGAAGCAACAGAAGGGGAGACAGGCATTCCTGCTGTCTGCTCCTAAACTCTACAAATCTTATGCAAATCTTTAGCTTTGACAAGTGAAACTTGCTATGGCAGGGAAGGGAGCAAAAATCTTAAAATGAAGTAAATTTAATAACTCAGATTGCATCCTGAGAACAGGCCTGGGGAAGGCAATCCCTCTGCAATCAGGGAATTATATTGTCACTGTCTGTAATATCTGTGAAATTCCAAGGTCAGATTCCCCATTCCTCTCTCCTTAAAGCTTACTCCTGGAGTTCTCTGTTGCCCTCTAAAGGGTGTTACTCTGAAGGAAGAGAAATAGCCATAGTTTACCCTTTGAGAGCATGGTCACCATGAAAAGGCATAATAACATAATGGTTTCTGAGAAGAGTTTGGTGGACTCGATTCCTCTTCTGCTGGAGAGGTGTTCATACGAGAAAACCAAACACAGCTGGTATCAGCTGGCAGCCACAGTAGCCCTTGCTGCAAACCTCATTAAAGAGGCTGATTTTGTAAATGACAGAGTTAGTGACCCTCTCATTTGTGGAGATGATGTCCAGGTAAGTTGGAGACACATCGCTAGTCAGGTGCTTTCACTACAGCTGCCCAAAGTGGTTCTGGGATTGGTTACCACAGGAATCAGCCACAGAAATTATCCACGTGGCACCTTTCTGAACTGTAACACATTGAGGAAAGAACAGGAGGTTTATTAACAAGAATGTGAGAGACTAAAACTATCAGAGTTACTGAATTTCGTGAGGTGGTTCTCACCTCACCAGCTTATGCTGAGTTGAATAATTGATTACATCCAAATCTACAGCCTAAGGATTTCTAGATTAGCCCGCTCAATTTTCACTCCTAAAGCTTTTCAAAATATGTTTTTTGAATAATGTAGCGTCTTCATACTAGTAATTACAGTGCCATGCAAGTCAAAGCTCACTTGAGTACAGCACTAATGTTACAATTTCTCTTGAGAAAAAAATGTAAGTTATTGTATTACTATGTTATTTTGATGAGGAACATTGGTTAATAAACAAAGGACAGAATTTGGTGTCAAACTTTTAAATGTAGCAGAAACTAGTGGACAGTTTTTTAAAAGCCTTCTCACCTAAGATGGTCAACATTGCCAGTGTATGTGATCACAGACACTCCTACGTGATTTCTGTGGTCAGGCTTTCAAATAAGCCACTTAGCCACTTACTTAGGAAACTTAACTAATTTTAAATGAAATAACTACAAACAAAAGAAAATATATAAAAAAGGGAAATAAAGATGACAACTGGGCATGCTAGGTCCAATCCTATGGCACGTGTAATTAGTTGTAACTAAACCAGATTACTCACTTAAAGGCAACTATAGCTAACACACCTCTTTGTCCAGCTATAACAGGCTTTTTAGTCATGATGCAGCATATGTAATAAAGAGAGGAGTGGTTCCACCTTGGTAGCCAGCTGTGGACAGAGAGGCACACATTTGTGTCTGTTTTCCATATGTTCCCCATGCGATCAGTTCCTGTGCAGTGAGCGCACATGGGTTAAGCCACTTGTGAAATGAAACACTTTGTATCAGTGTTTATACATGACAGACTTTTGCAAGAGGATGGTTAGAAACTCTTCAGCTACAACTTTTACAGTTATCTCTATTTTTTTTCTTGCAAATCATGGAATTTTACAGTTGGTACCGAAGAAACTCACCCCACCATTGATAGTGGTCCTTCTGGTTTTAATAGCAAACTTCACTGCCCTGGGAAGTGCTTAGCTATACTGAACCTTTCAAGTACTTAGGACTTTATCCTTCTAACACTTAGTATACAATATGCAATTTTTCAGAAGAGTAATACACATGTTCTTGAAAGGCACCATGAAAGAAAAATTACACATCCTATGCCATGTTCTTCTGCAAGCTGAACTCTTTCAGTAAAAGAAAACTTCTTGTCAATTCCCACACTATGAAGATGTGAACAAAGACATGACAGATGTGGTTAATGCTATGCTAATGCTGCATCTATTTTCACATGTCTGTTGGGAGCATCTTGGCAATTTGCTGCTGTACAAAAAGATCACCAGGAGCATCCACTCTTTGAAATAACCTTGCAAAGCTTAAGTAATGTTTTTTGACTGGAAGAAACTATAAGAGCAACTTTTGACGTATCTGAATCTAAGCAGGCATCAACGGCTTCTCAGTCTGCATCTGCTTGCTTTTTGTTCATACAATTAATTCTTTGGCTCAACTACAATAAGAAATACAGGTGCAATTTTCCATTAAGCTAATGGAAACTATGAAAATACTTTCCAAGGAATTAATCTGGCTACTAAGATATAATATATCACATTCCAATTAACTCTATGGTAAAAGATGATGATTTCATAATGACAAGGCTGCAATTTCACTGTAGCGCCCTTTTAGCAGACCAGAAGCTGAAAACTTTTTGTTGAGTATCCTGTCTGTTTTAAAAGGGAGAAGCTAGGAAATACCAGAAATGTTTACTTTTTTCTTTATATGTCACTCTTATTTATGAGAGAAATTCTACCAGAAATGGTCTCAATTTTGCTCTCTAGGGAACAGGAGAGAGGGAAAGAGAGGGAGCAGGAGAGGGAGGGCGAGTGCAACAATACTTAAGTCAGCAGAGTTGCATCAATGTAACCCTAATCTGAGGTCACAAGAAGATGAAAAAGGTTTGTTATTACTAGTAAGGCTCCGGATAGAGCCTTATACCCCATGCCCTGGTTTTTGCATCTGTTTTGCAATGTTTAGTGTGCTTACATATGTCTTATCTAAAAGAAATGTAAAAACACTGTTACATTCATACACTGGGGTGCTTATATGATGCATTTGCAAGAGCTCAGTGTGTAGTTTGATCATCTCTTGTGTTCCCCACATATAGAATCTGAGATGGAAAGGCGGGGGGGTAAGGCTATTCCCCCACATATGATTTTACCAGAGCAGAATCGTAACAAGCACCAGATCTGCTCCATCAGAAGGACCTGTACGAATACATCCAGAGTACTTACAGGATTGTGCTTTTCCCAGAGGAAAAGACAAGGGAATTGCATTCTTTTCGAGTTTTAGTCCTCCCCTTTTTTTTTCTCCCCCTCCCAATCGTAAGGCCTAAAATGATTTTCCGAGTGCCTGAAGTTCTCTGTGTGGGTAAAGAGTCCCGTGGCCTCTTAAAACCCGAAGATCCTGCACGGAGGGAGGCACCCTTACTGAGAATAGGAGCCGTATCCCGATGGCCCCGCTCCGCTGCCAGCCCACTCAGACCCGAGCGTGCCGCCGGCCCCGGCCCGCCTGTAGTGTGGCCGCTCCGGGCTTCCCCCTGGCTGTGCCCTGCGCTCGGGGCCACCGGAGCCCGGCGGAGCCCGGCGGGAGCCGGAGCTGCGGAGCCAGCACCTCTCCGCCGACACCCCCACATCCCCCCAGCAGCTTCCGAGCTCAGGGTCGGGGTTTTTAGGCGCGCA